CTTCCAGTGCCTGATAGTGCACCAGAAAATATTACTTACCAAAATATTTCTTCTGGAGAGATCGAACTATCATTCCTTCCCCCAAGTAGTCCCAATGGAATCATACAAAAATATACAATTTATCTCAAGAGAAGTAATGGAAATGAGGAAAGAACTATAAATACAACCTCTTTAACCCAAAACATTAAAGGTAAAAGGACAAATTTAATGTTGGGTATGTACATTTATATTGATAGTGTGGCTACAAAATATTAGCTTAATATTATGTTATAAATGGTTTAAGTGCAATTATTTTCATAGATGGTATGACAATTCTGTCTTTTTGGCTAAATAAGCTAGACGATGATTGCAGGTCACATGAAAGAGTACTCCTAAGTCAGTCCTTTTCCACATTATCCTATATCATTTTGTCTTCATAATAGGAGCTACTATTGCCAAAGAACTGCATTTTTATTTAGCTTTTATTTTTGGAAGACTGTTGAGTTGAGAGCCATTTTATAGTTTATCTTTTGCATGCTATTAAATGATTTTTTAGATGTCAATTTACCTATTTTATTTCTATTTAGGACTAAAGAAATATACCCAATATCTGATCGAAGTATCTGCTAGTACACTCAAAGGTGAAGGAGTCCGGAGTGCACCCATCAGTGTACTGACTGAGGAAGATGGTAAACATAGTAGTGGATATTGACATACTTTGATTCCATAAGATTTCAAGATATATGTATATAGAATACAACGGTAATGTAAAAATTCCCCTAGCCTTGAGCATCACTTATGTTTCCTGCCAACATTATACAGTGATTTCATTGTCATGGTATAAAAAAAGCTAGCAGCATGATCTTTACATTCAATAAAATCAAGGATAAAAATGCTTTTCATGTTCTGAAGTTATCAATACTCTGTAAAAAAAAATCAGTAATATTTTTCTATGGGAATTTTTAAGGCTAAAATTTGGTTTGAATAGTTAGAACATTAACTGATATATGTTAGTCACAACTGTGTTTTTCAACTTTTACCTTCATAAGAACAGACATTTATATAAATTTAGAGTATATTCTGTTTATGTCAACACACACACACACACACACACACACACACACACACACAC